TCCCACTTTCCATGCCATGCCACCTGACGCATCTGTACGACCAGGGCAAAATGCTTAGCTTTGAAGAGTTGCAAACCCGATACTCATTGCCAGGGGCGTACCTAGAGCATTTGGCACCCGGGGCGGATCCTGTGCTTGGCACCCCCCCCCCCCACCCCCCTCCCCAAAAAACAAACAAAAAAAAAACCTGTAAAAAATGTTAAAGGTTTTATTTCTTTTATTTTTACAATTTGTAAACTTTGCAAAACCGTTGTCAGCCCCTCCTACAAAACCCTTGTTCTGCCTTGCCCCTCCTACAAAACCTCTGTCCTGCCCCTTCTACAAATCCTGTACTGCCCCATCTACAAAACCCACGCAACCCCCTTCCACAAATCCCCTGCTTATCCCCCCTTATAAAGACTCCTGTCCCAATACAAAACCCCCACCCCTTCTACAAAATCCCTGCAGCCCCACACACACATTTACAGGCAGACAGTCACACACTCAGTTACAGACAGACAGTCACACACTCAGTTACAGGCAGACAGTCACACACAGTCACAGGCAGACAGTCACACATACACATTTCCTCCGTGCCAGTTTATCAGCTGTTTGCTTGAGTGAGCTGTACTGGCCGCACGGCACCCTAACTACCATGGGACACTGTGCGGCCACAGCTCACACAGCCCCCTCCAGCCAGGGCCGGTGCAAGGATTTTTGCCGCCCTAGGCAAAAGTAAAGTTTGCCGCCCCCCCATGTGACATCACAATGCCCCACCATATGATTTGCCATGTTAACTAACGCCAGTGCTGCAGTGCTGCCGTGTTTACATTAAAAGGCCTGCAGGGACAGGCTATAGACACCAGAACCACTACATTAAGCTGAAGTGGTTCTGGGGACTATAGTGTTTCTTTAATGTGAGGTAAATTAGAGCTTAGTGCCACGAATAATATACTAGATTGCCTACTTACAACCAGATGAGGATGATGATGGGCTCTAGCTGCAGTCTGGCTCCACTGGTCTGGTGCAGAACAGGCTCTCTGGAGGCGGTTTGTAACTGTGGTCACAAAAATCAATGTTCTGGGAGAACGGAAGCAGCTCCATTTTTTGGGGGTCCTTTACACAGCTC